CGTCAATATCTTTAACTATCTAATTACTAATATCTAGCCAATTAGTTATATACTATTGAAGATATGTACAGATCTGACAACAATCGACATTTTTTAAATTACCTATACCACCACTCTCTTTATCTGCCACAACAACCATCGTCTCCTTCGTGAACACAAAAGTCTTCTCAACGTTGATAATCTCCATGAATTGCTGTTAATTTCCGTGAAACTAATTGTGAGAGCAAGCAGAGGAAGGAGTCTCGTAACAAGCGCATACTCGTGCGTTTTTCGCGCATGATGATCGTGGAGAGAGAGAGAGAGAGAGAGAGAGAAAGAGAGAAAGAGAGAGAGAGAGAGAGTAAATGAGAGACAGAGAAAAACAAGGGGTAAGAGAGAAACGCAAGAACTAGGGGCTCACCTCACTTCGTGTGGAGCCTCCTTAACGTTAGGAAGCTCTGCCACTAATTGAATCTCCTCTCTTACTCGCGTCTGGAGCCTCCGCAACCGCTGGGAACCAGAGCACCCGTCCTGCATTAAACACCCCCCGACACCCTGGCCACCCTCATCCCCGTCGAGCGGTCTGGTCCGCCCCTGGCTGCCTTTCTCTTTCGATATGTACCTCTATCTCTCATCTGCCGCTTTTCCTCCCGCTCTTTGCCTTCCTTTGAATATGCTCTGCCTTCCTCGCTCTCCTTCCTTTCGTCTTTCTTTTCTTATTTTCGTTCGTCTTTCTTTGTATTTCTGTTTCTCCTTATATTTACCTGGTACTGTCTTTGCCGTTTCCCTCTCACGTTACTGCTTCTTGATCGGGCTTCTTCGCTCGAAACCTCCTTTGCTCGTTCTCCTTTGATTTTTCTACTTTTCTCGAACGTTTTTGGTCTTCTCCTCTTTTTTTGTTTCAAGCTCGCGTGAGTTGCCCGAGTATTTTATAACATTCTTCTTTGGCCATTTTCTCGCGGTACGGCTATATGTATATTGAACATTTTTTCGCAACTCATCGAAAATTTCGGTGTTTAACGAAAAATTTAAAGTACAAATACTTAATTTCATTGCGATGTTATTTTTGGTCATGTCGCTGCTTTAAACGAATGTTACACTTAGAGAAATGTTTTTTCAAGTTTTGATCATGATATTGTGGCTCGTTATTAAGGTAAGTTTCGTTTAACCGTATCTCGTTAACTGTTATCACACTCGCAACAAATTCATGTTTAGTATTTAATTCAACAGTTGTATTTAGCATATAAGGAGCTTTTTCTAATTTCAAAGTATTTTCCTAGTATTATATTTTCTTGTCCAGAATCGATTGCAACATGATGACAATTAGCAGATGTCAGACAGTGTTTAACAGAACTCAATAGAGCTCATTTCAAGTGTAAGCAAGATATCAATGTCATCGGATATTTCTAAGGCAGAAGAGCAATTAATATGAACATGATGTATGATAAACGGCAAAGATGGTTACAGAGAGTGAATAAAATATATATACAGCAAAGTCAGCTTATTATATACGTATTTGTATATTCATGTTTTTGTTCATATTAACATTTGACTAAACTTTCTCAAAGTTAATTTCAAAGTTTAAAAAACTCTTTAAAAAACTTCACTCTTCCGAGGAAGCATGTTGCTCATGAGAATTTAAATTAAATTATTAAAATATCAAATGTATTACTTCAGTCGTATTTAAAAGCAAATTTCTTGGAAGCTATTCTGCAACTCGAAATTTAAAGTGTCGGAATTATTTCAAAACTTAAACTATCAAAAACTTATGTGAAACATAGAATAGCTCTTTAGAGAAAGTAGCGAAAAATAAATCTAAATTTTAAACGGTTCTAGAATTTAAGAATAATGTTTTGCATTCGTTTAGGAACAATAACACGGAATTAATATTTTACAGAAATTCCATATACCATGTAAATCGCGGGTTTTAACAAGAACCTATTAATTACGCATATAACCATGACATGGTATTCAGTTGAAATATCAAACGAGGATTACACAAAGTCGTGTACTTATCGATATCAAATCCGATTTGCCCTGGCACGTAGAATATATGTATACCTTCAAATCGATACATGCTCGAATGCTTGAGGCTAACAAAAGAGATTTGAAATATTGAATCCTTGTACATCGTTAAAACTATTATTATTAATTCCATTTCTACGATAAAAAATTTATTCCGCGGTGAAACATTGTAAAACAGACAGATAGAAGCAAATAACATAACGTTTACGTGTTATACAAGCAGAGTGATAAAATTTACAGCAAACGAATGTTAATTACTGTCCGACCTTTCATCGGGGACATAATGTAATGCTACATTGAAAGAAGATTACACGTTTTCGATCGATTAATTAATTAAATGGAAATGGTCAGCAACGTTCGTCGAGAAGTATACACGCTGGTATCCGTGAATTTTGCGGCGAAATATCGAGGGCTGGAAGTAACGATCAAGTGAGAGATCATGGAAAAGCGAAACGTGGTATGACGGTGCAAAATCGTTATTGAGTCTCCACATTCGAGCCAGTTCTATTGAAGTCTCCCGTGTCGTCGATTAATAGAGACACGCAGTATGCTGTGTGATAACGCAATTTCGATGAAACTTAATACTGTTGGATGAAAAATTCAGTCGTTCAGAGATTGTCGGAAAAAAGTCGTATGCAGTTTCGTTTCACCTCATATAAAAGTTGTTTCCAACATATTGATTATAACGATGTAACAAGTTTCGAATTTCCGTGAATTAATCAACCTTGAATGAGGAATTACGATATTCTTTTGCAAAACACTTTTATTTTTTGAGGATGTTTTTAAGTTGAAAATGTTTAGTAAAATGAATATAATATTTATGGCAACTTGAACATTTAAGAAATTTAGTTCATAATCTTTGCTTAATTGTGTGAATAATTAAAGAATTTAATGTATAGTATATATATGTATTTCTAGTTTTATGTTTAAGTAAAACTTAAAAATACTCTTTTGGTCTATTTATAGATCTATTTCTTGGGAATATTCAGTATATTGATACTCATAGCAACTTGAATGTACCTGAAGAATTTAGTTTATAGTTTACGTGCTTAACAAAATTCAATCTCTTGTTTATGTGACGACATACGTCATGGATCAAATAAATCCTTTGATGAATTAGTTGTAAAACCAACGACAAATAGAGTATTTAACCATGATTACTGTTTTACTAGATCCACGACTACGTTTGCTTAGGAGGGTTTGTCTGACCAATAGCCACTGAAGTCACTGTCTTTGCGGGGCATTCGCGGTTCGAAAATCTTTGTCCCGTGAAACCACAAGAGAATCGCAACAAGACTACTAATATCTAAATCCAGTTAATTCAGACGAAAGATTCAAGAAAGTCTAGCAAAATAATAATTGTTTTGCTCAAAACTACACTTTGGAAGAAATCAAAGAGACATTCAATTGTTACAACTTCTACTTCATTTTCTACTGAAATTCACCACAAAATGATAGCACATCTCAACAATATTAAAAGATTAGATTTATCTATTGAAGTAATATGAATAATTGTATTGAATATTAAAAATAAGTTAAACTTTTTTCAAAAATATTAACTTAAATTAATATCTCTTTATATGTACATTTTTTCATATTGATTTTATTTAATATTAAATTTGTTTACAAAAATTTTGAAACGTGCAATCATTTTGTCGTGAACTGTCATATAAGATTTCAAAAAAGCAACTACATAAAAAAATGTAGCAAACAAGCTATTTTTGTTACTATAGTACAGACAGAAGAAATAGACTATCCAAGATCAGCGCTACTTCTTTGCTATCGCTGTATCCCATTGAATATTAGTTAAATTATAATAAATTCCAATAAACTGAGTATGTATATATCTCAAGTCCATTTATTTGAAAATCAATTAATTTTTTAGGTATCATTATCTTTTACATTATTTTTTACATAACTTTTATTTATTTTTACTTTCGGTTTAAAAAATTTTTCAATATTACAAGTTTCTGTTAACTAGATTCCTTACATTTCAATTAACATTTACAACATTATTAAAGTCGTAACAAACTTCATGAACAATGAAAACACGTTACAAGAGCTATTACCATTAGAAGGAGAATATAAAAAAATATATCATTAAAGATTATTTTAATACTTCCGAAAAAGCTATCTCGTCAAATATAATAGAATATCTTTTATTTTACTTTATCGCTCGGATCACTTTAGATTTTTATTTTTATCTAACAACCCAGGTATATTAATCCTTCAAAGAGGAAGCTAAAATTCTCCTTTTCGAAAAATAAAACAATTACTAGGAGTATAAATAAGTTCCCATGGTCAAGTATCGATAATATTAACGAACGTACAGTGATATTCTTTTGTTAGTGAGAAGACTGTCCAACGTTTCAAGAATTACACTATAGTCAGTTCTCCGTATTTTTCATAATTAGGGAAGGAAAAAATTGTTAAATAAATCAACTCGATAAAAAAATCAATCTATCATCTACTAACGAATCTGTTTTTCTAATTTAATTTTAATGCAATCTAATTCTTTAAAATTAATTAAGAACAATAGATTCCAAGAGAAAACAAGTTGATTAAAATTCTACTATCGTTTCTTTCATACCAGTAGATATCCAGTTCACTCCAGAAAACACGAGAACTTATATATACTATCAATATTATCAAACATCGTATTTATCGAGAAATAGTTGTTAAAACTTCCGATCAATCTTATAAAAAGCTCAACTCTTGTAGTTAGAAGATTGAAGCCTATTTCTTTCGTCTCTACTATAATTAACAACGGTGTAGAGTCCGCGGGGAAAACAGAGGCAGTCACAGCCTGCTCTGCTGGGAGCTCTTCGAGGCCTTCCTCTTGACAAGCAAGCACGCCATTAGACCGCTCCCGATGTCCTATGATATCGTGGTATTCTTTCCTCGCGCGGAATCACACCTACGATACTTTTTCTATAGGAGACGTATCTGATCTCACGATGCTATGTAAACATTTCCAAAAAAGTTTCATCACTTACCGTCTCTGTTCATGTTAGCTTCGAAACACTTGGCGAGTCTGCAGGCACGACATTGGTTCCTGTGGGTTTTATCGATGGGGCAGCGCCCTTTCATGGCACCCTGAACCTTGCAGATGTACCTTCGATTGCTGTGAATGCTCCTCTTGAAAAATCCTGAACAACCTGGACAGCACAGAAAAATTCGAACGTTCTGTTAAAAATCGATCGATTGTATGTTAAAATAATTTAGCGAGAAGTACGCTAAATAAAAATCAATTTTATACAGGGTGTCTTATCAATTCTGTCTATTTAGTATAATAGATGAAAGTTGCAGGCTTGAAAAGATACGTAACGAGATGGTAGACATTTGCACAAAAATTTAAAGAGTAATAATATTGGTAACAATATATTACAAGTTATAGATTATAGGAATATATTTTATAATTTTATAACTTTACGTTTAGATTACAAAATTAGATGATCTTTAATTTGTAAAATTTCAGTTGTTTTATTATCATATTATCATTTCAGTTGTTTTTGTTATAAACGATATTAGTGATTTATAATTTGTGATTCGTAAAATCGAACTAATAATATTAATTTAATTATGCAAGAGAACCCTGAATTCCAATTTTGATTGATGTGTAAGATTATTAAAGTAGATTTATTAAAAATCGAAACTAATCTCCAGATTTCCCCTACTTCTTCATCTGCGAAACCGCTATCACCAAGTTACATATATATTTTTTTCAACTGTACAACATTCATTGGAACAGAGTTGACAGAACACCCTATACCGTCGGATAAGTTACGATCATTACGCAGATTTAACCTTTATGATTTATTTAATTGATAATTAAACAATCTTCTCTCTCTAAACATTTTGAGCGAATCTAATCTAAAGCATTAAGCTGGTGAGAAAATTATCGTGAATACGTGTTGTTTCGGTTAGCTGTCAAGAGAATGAATTGTTAAATAAAAGCGGATTGTAATCAACGAATCTGTTGTCTCTTATAAAAGATAAACGAACGTTTGTCGAAGTGTTTTTTTTAATGAAAAATTTAAGTACAGAAGAGCTTGATAATTACCGTCGCAACTGTAGATGCCGTAGTGTTTTCCAGAGCTACGGTCACCGCATACCAGACACGGTATATCAAGTAATCTGTCCCCTACAACAGAAATTGACTTAATGGAAAAACGGAAAATCTAACAATTGTTAATCATAGCTTTGTTTCTTTTCGCTTTGTGTTTGTCTGTTTTTGAAAGCAAAATGTTTTTCAGAAATAAAGCCTTATTTAATATTCTTTCTGTTTTTAAACTTTGTTCAAATTACGATCAACTGTAATTAATCAATTAAACGTTCAATTGTTTTTCATTCCTAAGAATATTTGATTTTTGTATAATATCTAGTATTTATATCTAGTATTTAGAATATCTAGTATTTATTGAATATGCAATAATTTAAAAAAATTTTCAAAAAATACTTAATGCATTAATATGTATTATGTAAATTGAATATATATATATGTTTATAATGTTTTTAGGAATTAAAGAGTTGATAATGAAGATATAATTGTAATTAAAGTACAATTATTAAAAATATTAAAAATATCTTCTTTTGAAGATTTGTGCATTGTGTTCTATTTATGAACCAGCGTAATTTCCAAATTTTATACAACGAAAACTATAAAAAATTACATTTTCCATAATTCAATTACTTGACATCTCTCTCAACGATACGAGAAATTGAAATGATAAAACAAATTCATTGATTACGTTTGTAGCTAAAAGAAAGTTGCGTCCAACGTGTCTGACTGTATACAGATATTTCTACTTAATTCTTATTCCATCATGTATTCGAACAAATTTCTCTAAAACATTTGTTTCATGTATACTACGTATATTTTACAAACTATACCATTCTTAACAGCTTCGTAATGATAAGAATACGAATATTTATTTATATTTTTACTGTTTTATACAATTTCAGTTTCGTTAAGAACCACCAATTTCTGAGATATACCTGCCATCGATGAACGCTATAAACAACTAAACAAACGCAGATAAAATAAAAGAATTACATTCTTATCTTCGAGTAAAGTGGAAAACTCTTTCAAACGCGTTAAATAAAATTTCTTAATTTATCTCTCGAACAAATGGTTGACCATGCGATTAATCCGACGTGAGAGATACCACCGAGCCACTCGTATAAACCGGAGAACCTAAAAACGAAGTGAAAAGCTGGCGGAAAGAGGACTCCGTTTAAGAAAGCAAAGCGGACCGCAAGAAGAGCTGGAGCGTTAATCTGTTCTCCCCCTTTTTGGAGGAACCCTAATCGTCCTAATGATCCGCGGCAAGAAAAACACAGCCATGCCTAAGCCAACCAAAGCTTCCGTTTCTGGCCTGGGGAACCAACCACCTTCTTCTCACACCAAATACCTACCAACCTAACCCGATCAGTCGAGCTGCTTCAACCCCAACAGATTACCTCCTTCGACGTTTACGCTTATATCTAGATATCGTTGTCTTATGTGTCCTACGCGTCGATTAACTATAAACGATTTCAATAGCAAGGGGGATTAAGTATATCTGAGGGTAATAGTTACAAATTTATGCAATCCTATTATATTTGAATTTGAAGTATCTTCTTCGAAAGTGTGGAATGGTTTAAAAGATCGCTATGCATTCAACTCTGTTCAACGCTTAGAGTTGCTATGTTACATCGTGAAAATAATAAATTATTAATAATAAGTTTATATTTAACGCAATGTACGTTACGTCGAAAGAAAAAGAAAACTTAAAATTATGTGCAGGGATGAACGTTGAAGTATTTGAACATTAGAATTTAATATTTAGACTTTCTTTTTTCCTATGAAATCGAGTTGTAATTTAAACAAAGTTAATTATGTAATTGGAACATTTTGGGAAATTTGTATCGAACGATTAAAAAGAAAGAGAAAAACAAATCTTCCTAGAAATATTTATTTTATCATTATTTTATATCAAGTAGTATCAAGTAGGATTTCTTGAATTTTAAAGCGATCTGTTCTGGATTTAGCAAAATTAAATAATCGGGAACAAATATTTGGCAATGTTTCTTTGGTTACCAACTCTTTTCATTGAATACAATTTTGAAACGAATAATAATGAGAATAGACACTTCATTTTAATAACAAGGTACAACATTCTTTATTTCATTTCGTATTTCATTAAAAAAAATTATACTTTGCAAAAAAAACGTAAAATCTAAACTAGATTTCATGTGTCTTGTCTTATTTGAAAGACAAATAATTTGGGAGAATTATAAATATTAATTTTTTATATAAATATCTCGAGAACTGAAATTAATAGATTTTGGAAACATATTTGAAACAATTTTTAATAAAATATAAATTAAATCATTCCTATTAAATACATAGCGACCCAATCTTGCTTTCAAAAACCATTGTTTCGTTATCTCACTTCTATAAAAAGTCAACTAAACCATAATTATACAAAAAGCACAATTCAAAATACCAAATAGCATAGTTCCATTCAATACGAACCGAAGATAACCGCTCCTCTATCCAGAATAAACTTTCTAATCTCCATTCAATTACAAATCCCAAACCATCGGTTCCAGAAGTCAATCACCGGGACCAAAAACCATCGCAAGGCCACCAATTGAACAACCAATAATCGCACACATTTAAAACGAAAACTTCGACTCTTTCGATCGTCCAAAACCAAAAATCAAAACAAAAAGAGATCCTCCGAAGCTAAAGTAAACGAAATCGACGAAACAAGCTATTTTAACGCGCACCCAAAACGATCAAACGTCGACATGCCAAAGTTCAAACTGAACCTGTCAAGTCACCAGGTCATCGAAACTCCGAAACCATCCGATGGAAAACGAATTTGAAAAGGAACAATTTAAACAGAAAAATGGAAGAAACAGGAACCAACGTCTCATCTTACCGATGTTGCGCATAAATAAAAACGAAGAATAATTAAAAAAAGAAGAAAGAAACGAAGCGGCACGTGTGTCACTGTCTTCTAAGTACCGCGTGCCCTGAACGGGGGTTGGCGAACCACTCCAACGTATCACTGTCGAGAAAAGCAAGAGAGGCACGCTTTATCGAACTGACCTGTGCCCATCCTTCGCGACTGATCAAAGTCGAGCATCCCCAGACGGACGACTGGACCGGTGGCCGTTCCGACACGACGCCGAGGGAGTCGCGCGAAGTCTCGAAGCGT